TGGTGGTGGTGGTGGTGGTGGTAGTAGTAGTAGTAGTAGTCGTAGTCGTAGTTGTAGAAGTAGAAGTAGAAGTATAAGTAGTAGTAGTAGTAGTAGTAGTAGTAGTAGTAGTAGTAGTAGTAGTAGTGGTAGTAGTAGTAGTAGGAGGAGGAGGAGGAGGAGGAGGCGGAGGAGCAGGAGGAGGAAAACGACGAATGAATGGAGGAGTAGACAGAGGCTGAGGCTGAGGCTGAGGATGAGGATCAGAAGGATGATGATGATGAGGAGGAGGAGGAGACGGAACAGGATGACCATTATGAGCAAGTGAGAGGATGGGCCAGGTCGGAGAAAGGAGACGAGGTGAGGACCAGGAATAGGATGAGGGAGCTGCTGAGCATGATGCTGATGATGATGATGACGACACCGATGATGAGGATGATGAAGAGGAGGGAGAGGAGGAGGATGATGCCGATGATTATGATGATGATGAGGAGGAGGAGGAGAAGGATGAGGAGGACGAGGACGTGGACGAGGAGGAGAAGGAGGAGGAGGAAGAGGAGGAGGAAAGCAAGGACGCCCAAGGTGATTAGGACAAGTATGAGCAGGAGACTGTGATGTGGATGATACGCTGAAAAAGGAGGGCGAGGATGCGAAGGAGGATGAGGAGGAGGAAGAGGAGGAGGAGCAGGAGGAGGGGAGGAGGGGAGTGGACGAAGGAGAGAGGACGGTGGAGGGAGGACTCTGAAGTACTAGCGGGAGCTTTGGCAACCCAAGTGGGCCGCCGTCCGTCCATGCGTCGTGCTGTGGAATTGGTGCGCAACGCACGAGATAAACCAATTATGACGTCGACCGAGGGAGGGGAGGGGGAGGGGGAGGGGGAGGGTGAGGGGGGATGGGGAGGGGGAAATAGGTTCCATTTGTAGGTGATCGTCTGCGGGTGATGTGGGAGGGGGCGGGGGGGCGGGGAGGTGGAGTGGGGAGGTAGGGAAATCTCCAAACGAGTGTGCGCGGCGCTCAGGCGAGAGCCGCACCCTGACAAACCATCGGCCCTCCCTCCGTGCGGTTCTCGGTTTGTCGTGGGGGAAGCGCGGGCGAACTGCTCGGACCGCCCTGCCGCAACGGCTGTTGGTGTCCCGGAGAGGACTTACTCATGAGGGGGAGGGCGCGAGAAAGGAGAGGGCGGGAGGGAGGAGGGAGAGAGGAGGAAGGGAGGGAGGCAGGAGGGAGGATGGACGGAAGTACGCGGGATGCATAGGCGTCCAGGATGGTTGGCCCGAGCGTACCGAACCCGTCCCACTTGTACAGCCAATTTGAAGGACGGGCTGATCACAGGTGCCTAGAAACCAGGAGCTTGGTCTCTCCTAGTCTGCTGTTCGGCCTGGGAAGAGTGGGCAACGAGCGACGATTCTTCCGCGGCCCGGGCCCGAGCCTTGTCACGCCACACGCACAGGCAGACAACGCGTGAATTTCGGAGAGCTGTCAGAGGACCAGCACAGCTACTTCTTCCTCACGTCCTAAGTGGGGGTCTTGTTTTCTCTGGACACCCCCGCGAAGGAACAAGAACACTCACACACTTCATCATCGCCATCACCACCACCATCATCACCATCATCGTCATCATCATGATCATCAGGGTCATCATAAACATCATCATCGCCATCCTCCGCCTCCTCATCATCAACATCATCATAATCACCATCATCATCATCAGCATTCTCATGTTCATCACAATCTCCATCTTCAATTTCATCTTCAGCATCATAATCGTCACCATCACTATCATCACCACCATCACACTTATCATCATCACCATTCGGATCATCATCATCATCATCATCATCATCATCATCATCACCATCACCATCATCATCATCATCATCATCATTGTTATCATCGTCATCATCATCACCATCCTTACCACCATCGTCATCATCATCACCACCATCATCATTATTACCATCACCGTCAACATCGTCATCGTCATCATCATCATCACCATTGTCATCATCACCATCATCACCATCATCACCATCACCAGCATCATCACATTCATCAGAGCCATCACCATCACCATCATCATCATCACCATCATCAGTGCTATCAGCATCATCATCGCCATTATCATCACTATTGTCATCCTAATCGTCTTAATCATCATCACCATCATCACCACAAGGACCATCACACTTATCATCATCCCCATCATCATCTCCATCACCATCACCATCACAGTCATCATCATCACCATCATCATCTTCACCACTGTTCGCAACATCATCACAATCATCATTGTCATGAATGTCACACTAAGCATCGTTACCATCCTCCTCATCACCATCACCATCATTCTCATCACCACCGTCATCACCATCATCAACATTACCATCATCACCATCATCATCACCAGCATCATCATCATCATCTTCATTATCGTCATCCATCACCATCATCACCATCATCATCATCATCATCATCATCATCACCATCACCATCACCACCATCATCATCATCATCATCATCATCACTAGCATCATCTTCATCGTCATCATCACCACCACCATCATCATCATCATCATCAGCATCAGCATCAGCATCAGCATCATCATCATCATCCTCATCAGCAACATCATCATCATCATCATCATCATCATCATCATCATCATCATCATTTTCGAGGGAGCTCGATCTACCGTCGCTCGGATGTAACAGATCCCACCCGCCTCCAGGAAACCGTGAGAGGTGGGGTGTTCCCCCCCTCCCCTTCCCCGGGAACGGTGGGGGGAGGGGGAGTGGAGCCCCCCTCCCCCCCCTCGACTGACCCCCGGGGGAGGGGGGGGGTGCAGAACCCCTTTCCCCCCCGCGGCTTGAACTGGGGGGGAGGGGTGGGGGACGCACCCTAAAGTGGGACAACTTACAACCAACTAGGACGGATTCCAACCATTTCGTACCAATCCCAACCAATTGGTACCAACTCCAACCACTTAGGAGGTTCCTAAGAAGTTCCCGAGAGGTTCCTTAGAGGTTCATCAGCGGTCCCTTGGACGTTCTCTCAAAATCCATAAGAATTCCCCAGGGGGGAAGGAGGGGGAGAGGGAGGGAGAGCGAGGGAGAGGGAGGGAGAGGGAGGAGATGGAGGGAGAGGGAGGGAGGGAGAGGGAGGGAGAGGGAGGGAGAATGCGAGGAGAGGGATGGAGAGGAAGGACGAGCGCTGGAGAGGATGGAGAAGGGAGGAGTAGGGAGGGGGGAGGGAGGAGATAAGGGAGGACAAAGGGAGGGAGGGGAGAGGGAAGGTGAGAGGAGGGAGAGGGGGAGGGAGGAGAGGGAGCGGAGGGAGAGGGATGGAGTAGGGATGGTAGAGGTAGGGGGAGGAAGGACGGAGGGGAGGGAGAGGGAGGGAGAAGGTGGTCAGAATGGAGGGATAGATATTGAGAAGGATGACGACGGGAAAGGGAAGTGGAGGGAGAGGAAGATAGAGGGAGAGGGAAAGGGAGAGGGAGGGGGAGGGAGAGGAGAGGCAATGAGAGGGAGGGAGAATGGAGGGATAGGGATGAGACTGAGGAATGGAGGGAGAGGGAAAAGGAAGTCGGGAGGACGAGTGAGGGAGACGCGAGGAGAGGGGGGCGAGGTCAGAGAGAGGGAAGATTGCGAGGTATTGTGGGAGAGGGCGCCCGCTGGGAGGACGCGGGCGGACGTCGGACGGACGGAGGTAGGTGAGCGGTTATGGCTAGGCCGGGGTCGGCTGCTTCTGCTGCTGCTGCTGCTGATGATGATGATGCTGTGATAGATGATGGATGATGAATGATGCTGATGCTGGGGCTGATGCCGATCGATGCTCATAGATGATGATGCTGATGATGAATTGATGATGATGATGCTGATGCTGCTGATGCCTGCTGATGTGATTGAGGAATCCGACGACGGGGCATGATGATGATGATGACGATGATGATGATGATGATTATGATGATGATGATGCTGATGCTGATGCTTGATGATGAGAGGATATGGATGAGATGAATGGATGTGAATGATGATGATGAATATGGTAATGAGGAGGAGGAGAGTAGGAGGAGGAGGAGGAGGAGGAGGAGGAGGAGGAGGTGGAGGATCATCCCCGAGGACGGCCTGAGGGACCAGTCCGCGGCCCTGCGAGGCGGGGCCGCCGCGACGTGCCGCCTCGCCGTTCTCCCATCGGCTGGCCCTCCTGCTCCGATTCCTCCCTTCTCTTCCTCCTCCTCCTCCTCCCTCCTCCTCCTCCTCTCCTCCTCCTCCTCCTCCTCCTCCTCCGCCTCCTCCTTCTCCTCCTCTGCGGGACCCTCCCAACTTCCGATGGACGCCAGCGCACAGGTCCTCGGAGGAGCTTATGGGCACAGAACCGCAGGAGCTGCGTGACTGGCTAGGCAACGGCTGGGCAGACTACTTCGCGCGCTGTGGTGCGGCCTCTCACGAACTGGCTGGGTCGGTAGCTGAGGCGGTAACAGCTGCGCTGAACACAGCACCACAAGGTCCTGTAGTTCATTTCGTGGGCGGCACTGCAGGTGGTGGCTCGCAAACAATGGGGATGCGACGTGGAGGTCCCCAGGCCACCTTGCGAGCAGGCCAGGCCCATTGTGGTGGCAAGCAGTACGGACCATGTCCTTGCTTACTGCGCCAGCCTCGGGCGGTACCGATGCACCCAATGCGGAGTCACGGCCACAACGGGCTCCTCCCTCAAGTCGCTGCAATCTGGCTCTCATCGTGTATGTCGCCCTTCGCGTGTTGCCAGAGCTCTCAACGCCGAGTACTTCCGCCCCTTCGGCGAGGGCTGGGTTCTCTGCGGCGACCAGAGGGCTGGCATGGCCCTGGGCGCGGCCTTGGCGTTCGAAGGGAGCTCACAGCCCTCGGCCCCCGCAGCCTCCCCCGCAGCCTTGTTGCCACCTGCCCTGGCCGAGGAGGTCGGGGACGCCTTCGCTGCGCTTGGGCACGACGTGTTCAGGGGCAACAGCATCTACTATTGCAGGCGCTGCGGGTCTCACTGTGCTGCGGGAGATGTCCGCGCAGTGCGGAAGCTTGGCTTGAGGTGCGACGGGCTCTCGCCCAACGAGTCCACGCGCCGCAACCAGCAAGATGCGATCAGGCGCGTCGAGAGGGGCCTGGCGCCTCGTGGCCGGCGTACCCCAGCAGCGTTGCCCCCGCAGGGGGGCTCCTCTTGCAGCCACGCGGCGCGTTGACCGACCATGTCGTGATTCGCTGCCGTTCCGTGGTCGGCTGGTGGCACGGCGTCTTCTTCGGTGGCGACGCCTCCTTCGTCGGCGGCAAGTTGGCCTGCGTCCACGGCCTTGAGGGCGACTTCTTCCAGTTGCTCTTCTTCTACATTGCCTCCTGCTTTTACGGCGCCGTGCCGTGAGTAGGCGGCGCCAAGGGGTTGTCCGTCACGCGCCCGCGTGCGCGGCGGGAGACCTTCCTGATGGGCGTCGCTCCTCCTCTTCCTCCTCCTCCTCCTCCTCCTCCTCCTCCTCCTCCTCTTCGTCCTCCTCTTCCTTCTCTCCTTCCTCCTCGCTCCTCCTATTCGTCCTCCTCCTCGCTCCTGCTGCGCGCTGCTATGCGACAGCGGTCCAGGCGTCCGGCACCTGCGGCGCCCGCGCCGCGCGCGGCGGGCAGGCTGGCGGCCCCGTGACGCGCCGCACTCCCGCCGGGGAACGGGTCTCCCGAGGGGGGTGGGGAGACGGAGGCATACCATGCCCAATCCTCCTGCTCCTCCTCCTCCTCCTCCTCCTCCTCCTCCTCCTCGCTCCTGCTGCTGCTGCTGCTGCTCCTCCTCCTCCTCCTCCTCCTCTTCCTCGTCTGCCTCCTCCTCCTCCTCCTCCTCCACATCCTCCTCCTCCTCGTTTTCCTTCCCACTCTCCGTGCCGCCCCCCTCGCACTCCTTCTCCCCCTCCATCCCTTCTCTTCGTAAGTACTGAGTCATTCCTCTCTGTCGCACCTCCAGACGTGTCGGTAGGGCGGACCAGGCGTGTCGCCTGAGACTTCCCTGCCCTCTGCGATCCTGAAGCTTGAAGTTTGCATTAATTCCAAGGATGGACGGCTGGTCCATGTAACTGTTTGCTTTCGCTTTAGCGCCGCACGCGGTCGTGGATGGAGGGTGCCCCTTGAGTATGGAGGGTGGGCCTTGAGTTTGCTTTCGCTTTAGCGCGTCAGCAGTTTTGAGGATTGAGGGTGGGTCTTTTTCAATATGTCTCGCTCCGGCGCCGTTCGCATTCGTTTCAACATGTTGCAGTAGCTTCAAAAACGCATGGCGGTTTTTTTCACATAGCTTTCGCCGTAGCGCCGCGCGCATTCGTGTTACCAGTTTGCAGCAGTTTCAAGGGTAACTGGCGGTTCCTTTTCAAAATGTGGCTCCCGCCTTCGCGCCGCGCGCATTCGTCTCAGAGCTTTTCAGCAGTGTCATGGGTTCATACAGATGAAGTTCCAGAAATTGCCAGCACGCAACAGTTGCGTTGATCCGCGGGCTTGAAGTCCCAGGTCTGATGTTCTGGTGCGATTACGGTTGCCATGGCGGAACAGTCACGTGTATTCGCAGCGTTGAAGTCTTCTCGGACGTCTGTCCTTCCATGGGGCACTTCCCGCAACGAAGATCAATTCTTGTAGGACTCCTGAAGAGGGAACTTGGAGGGAGAGTTTCTTCCAACATCGTTGATGCGCCTTGGGTTTACACTGGTCCCCCTGCTTCCCCTCGCCCCCTATCCTCCTTATCCTCCTCCCCCTCCTTCCCCTTCTCCCCCTCCTCCTCCTCCTCCTCCTCTTCCTCCTCCTCCTCCTCCTCCTCTTCGTCCTCCTCCTCCTCCTCCTCGTCCTCCTCGTCGTCCTCGTCCTCCCTTTCTCCCCCTTCTCCGTGGCCGCTTTGGTTCAAGTTACTCCGATCTCCGACGGTTTGTTTTTTTGCAGCCAGCGTTTGTTTGGGCCTCAGGGGGGCGTTTTAGGGCCCCGGGATTATTACGAGCCAGGTCGCGGAACCATTTCCTGGGAAGGGGTCGACTCAATGTGCCGTGCCGTAGGGAAATTGCCGTGTTCGCCCTGCGGAAGCCCTCGCAGGACCCCTGGACTGTCAAAAAGCAAGTCTGGACGACACGCCAGCCCTGCCTTTTGTTGTGGGACTCCGGGGCTCCGAGATCCAAGCCAGGGGAGACGAGGTGGAGGGGAGGGGAGGGGAGGGGTCAGAGAGTGGAGGGGGGAGGGATGGGAGGGGGAGAGCGCGTGGGAGAGGGTGGAGGGGGTGGTGCTTCAGGGTCCTACCTCCCTCAGCTGGCGCATCCTGGCCCCGCCTCCCCGAAGAGGCAGTCAGATCGCCATAACCAAGAACACCAGGCTCTTGACCATCGCGTTCGACGAGTTCAAGCTGGGGGTCGCTGCCAAGGAGGCCCAGGAGCGGCCTGCTCCCGCGGCCTTGGCAGCATGCACGGGCAAGACTCGTGCTGCTGCTCCTCCGACTCCTCGTCCCTCATCCTCGAGCATCTTCGTCCTCATCCTTTTCACCCTGCTGCTTCTCCTCCTCCTCCTCCTCCTCCTCCTCCTGCCGCATTGCTGACATTCCGACCCAGCTGGCCCTGGTGTCCCCGTTTCGGCTTAGTGGGGGCACCACGCCAGATGCTTGACAACGCGGGGAGCATATGGCCCTTTTCGCGTACATCGATCCGTCTCATTGACCCTTGCTCCGGCTGAGCGCGCAATCAACATCGAGCCGACATACGGTATTCGTCATACGGTTTAGTCAGGCTTCGCGACGGCACCCTGGAAGTGCACACCACCTGTGGGACTTTTTGGGGTGACGCCACCATCAATTTTCCAGAAGACGAAGGGCTTATCTTGGCGTTCACACACGTCCCGAAAACCCCGCCCCCCTGTTTACGATTCCACGTGGCACCAAGGGCTTCAATTCCAATTTCGGTTCATCTCTCGAGTCATCATTTTCCATCCTCTGTCCTCGGACATCTGAGCGTTCTTCGGCTTCTCCAAGGTCTTCCACCTCTCGCTGGTGGCCCCGCTGCTCGGACGCAGCTGCATGCACTACCTGGGCGTTCCCGCGCCGACCTGCATGGTCTGGTCGGGCTCCTTCTTTGTCTGCTCTTCTCGCCTTTTGCTCTTCCGCTTCGTGCCTGTATTCGCTTCCGGTGCCGCCCACCGCTCGCTTTGACCGGCGCCTGATCGTCTCGAACACCCTTATGCCCGCGGAGTTATCAATTGAACGATTCCGCGTTGACTCCCTGCTGGTTGCCCGGCAGCTTTACCTGGCATGGAGATGCTTGTCCCCCGATTCGTCGCCATTGTTCATGCGAGCGTTTGGGTTTTTGAGGCGTCAGCGTTCCACGCGCGGGGTAGCCACTGTCGAGATCCAGCATGTTTGCAAAGAGCTCCGTGCCCACGCCCATGGCGTTTGCAATTCCGTGCTTGCCACCGTTGCGGCAGGCCGCACGCCCCGAGAGAGCACGAGACAATCGCCGCTCTCACCCGGGGGGGCCTCTGGTGCTCCTGCCCCGAGGTGGCGCCGCTCTGCCCACCGCTGGTGGTTACGCCCCCGTGCTTTGCATGTCCCTCTGCAGGCGGAATATCCACACATAGTCCAACTACAGTGCGGGATCGTTTTTTGTTTGTTTGCTTTAGATATAATGCAGTTACATCGACATCTGTATATCTATAGATAAACCTGTTTTTGTGGTGGACTCTTTTTCGCCCAAAATCCGCCTGTAGGAGGACATGCCCGACCTGAGGTTCTCCCCCTTTGCTCGTGGCGCCGCCCTCCTCCCGCCTCTCGGCCGAGGTCGTCCGCCGGTCGCCGCTGCCTCCTCTCCGGTGTCCCCCGTCTTCTGCTGGCCCTGGCCCGTGCTGCTGTGCCCGCGCCTGTCTGCGCCGCCCGCTGTTTGCATCTCCAGCTGTTTTGCCGTTACACATGGCCAATTTCGGAAACCCGGAGCCTTTCATTTCTTGGGGGCACATCTTTTACTTCCGCCACCTTTGGCCGAGCTTCCGCCGGCGGAGGCGGCGTCGTTTTACTGCCGCCAACCTTCCGCCGCCCTTCCGCCGCCTTCCGCCGAGGAAGATGTGGCAACTCCTTCCATCCTCGAAGGCAAGGCCCTTCTTGGATCGCCCTCTATCGATTCAGCGCGCTGCACCAGCCGCCAGGCTAGTCCATCGCACATCTTGTTCAAGCTCCGACGCACACCTTGCCAGGAGCATTGGCTGCATGACAATACCTACATACAGAATTCTGTTGGATGCATGTTTGGATTGGACTCGCGTCCAGCGGCCGAGCTTCTTAATCATATGGTTGCGGCGCTGAACAAAAAACATGCTCCTCCTCTGGCTCCTGTTCCTGCTCCTCCCCCTCCCCCTCCCTCCTCCCCCCTCTATCCGCCCCCCCGCGCTGGTTCTCCGACGCGGCGTGCCTCGCCGTGCCCTTCCTCACTTCGATGTCCCGTGCCGCCATCCGCCTCGCTTGTGTCCCAGCGAAGCCCGCCCGCAGCTCGGAGATGAGACGCCGCCGACGCTGCCCGCCCTGGTGCTGTCTTGCTGTTCTGCGCCGTCTTGCTCTCTCGCCTTGCCCGGCTTCTCGCCCTCCCTTGCTGCTCGGCCCTTCCTCGACGTGCGTCGCCCTTTCCCGTCCGTCTTGCTCTGCACCCATCGGCTCGTCCTGCCGAGCTCCTTGGGGCTCTACTCGGCCGGGGTTCCAGTTGGCGCTGGCTTGATCGGTGGCTTCTTCTGTTGTCTCCGGAAGGTCTCCTGGTGGACCCGTGCGGCCCAGGTGGCCGTCGCTGTGCTGCACACGTACCAGTGTGAGCGCCGCGCCGATGCATGATGCCGTGCCTGTAAGTCGCGGGCAGAGAACGCTTCTGTCCCACATGTGCGATCAGCAGCGACGCGTGGCAGTCCTGTTGGGCATGGCTGCGCGGCAGTCTTCGCAGCGAGGCAACGATCGGACTCTGCTCACGAGCTTCTATACCTCTTGCTTTCTCTTCTGCATCTGCCGCGCGCACTTTGCGCAGTCCGCAGAAACAGTGCTCTCGCTTGAGATTCCTGGATTCATCCCGCTGATCACCAACTGGTGCAAGTGCATCGCCGACTCCCCGCAGGCGCCGGCCCATGCGCGCGTTGTTGATGGTCCGCCTTGCTTGGAAGCGCGCACGTCGCACATGCGCCGTATATGCACGGTACCCGCTCAATAATGTGGTTACAGTCGGTTTGAGCAGGCGCGTGCCCCGGTCAGTTTAGCCTTTGTTTGCTCGCCTTTCACGTCTTCCGCTTCCTGTCTGCACGAGCTGTGGTCGACAGCATGCGCGAGAGCGTTGTTCGTTATTCTTACTGTGTTGCAGCAGTCCTTGTGGCGTGTTTCGCCGATCTTGAGAAGTGAGCTGGGTCGGTGCAAGAGGCGGAATGGGGACGGAGGCAAGGGGCAGCGTCGGTTTCAATGCGAAAGCCAAGATGTCATGGTACTCGACCCATCCTGCCACTGCGCTTGGCCCGTGTTCCACAGGTCTTGGGGACACTTTTGGGAATCTTCGGGGGTTTCTTGGGGGGCTCCTGGGGGCCTTTGTAACTTACTTGAGTGTGTCCTGGGTCGTCTTGGGGGCTGGGGGTCTCTTGGGGGTCTTGGGATCACGTTAATTCGAGGAGTTGTCTTCCAGCGCTGCTACAGTGGCGTGCTGTTTTGGGCCCATGGGCCGTCTTGGGGGCCTCTTGGGCCCCTCTCCCAAGAGGGACCCTAAGCAGACCACCGGACGGCTCCAGCGGTCCCTAAGACTCCTCAAGACGGCGCCCAAACGTGGCAACCATGGTTTAGCAGCGCCCCAAGACGAACTCTACATAGTTCCAAGATGGGCCTACGGGACTCCCGAGAGGGCCCAGAGCGGCCCCAGCTGGCCGGTGAAGGCTTCCAAGCGAGCCCCAAAAGACCCAAGATCCTCCCAGGAGACCCCTGTAACCAGAGACCAGGACGGGGGGCTCCTGGGCCGACCGTAGTGGGAGTAACCGGTCCTTCCGGACTCGGACCCCAACCACAAGATTGCCCCCCGACGGCCCAGCATCGTTCCTGGGCGGATCAGGACGCCCAGAAGGCGGCACGAATGGATGTAGAACCAGCCTCACGGGGCTCCAAGGTAGCCCCGGGTGCTCCCGAGACGCTCATAGAGCGGTCCAAGAGAGCCCCCACGAGGCCTTCGAGAGGCCCAAACCATTGATTCGCCTGCTTTTTCAAACAGCTGTACGTTGTTGGTCGTCCGGTTGTAAGAGCGTCCAATAAGGGCGGCCCAAGAGGCTTCAGAGATCGGCCCAGAATGCTTCTGCGAAGGATTCCAGCAGGCCCCAAGATTGCCCAAGAGGGGTACAGTCAAGACGCTGAAGTATGGACCACTTTGGCCTCAGGAGTAGCTCTGGTTCTCGGGCCGTTCCTTAGATCTAGGTCGGGGAACCTATTCGTGGCCGAGGCTCGCCGTGGCCTGAAAAGCTTCTTCATTCTTCATTCCGCATTCCCTATGGCAGCACGACGATGGCCGAAGAGGGGTCCACAGCGGCCCAAGAGGACCCTGAGACAACATGGGCGGGCCGACGTGCATCAGGCAGGGTCCGTCTTGGAGGCCCCATGAGGCTTTTCTAAAGCCCTCTTGGGCCCATATATATATGCATATAGATATCGTCGGCGACGAAATGCGAACCCTGCCCTCGCCGATCCACGATTCAGGCAACTCGATGGGCGGCGGGGGTAGGGCTTTGAATTCGCCGAACACGTGGCGAAATCCGAACCCTACCCCGCCTTCCATGTATTCAGGATAATCGATGGTTGGTGGGGGTAGGGTTCGGATGTCGCCACCAGTCTTTGGCCACTTTGGGGCCGTCCGGGGCCGTGTTGGGCGCCACTTGAGGCCATCTCGGCGACATCTGGAGCCACTTGAGCGACTTCCGCGACGAAGGACGGTGGAGGATGGGGAGCATGCGGGACGCGCCAGAGTGTCTGCGGAGAGGCTTGGGGAGAGCCGAACAGAAGGTTGTCTGGCAATTGGCACTCCCAGCACCCCTGTGGACACAGAGGGCGGCAGATCGAAGGCGCCTCCTGCGAGTCACCCCTGCCATCAGTCGCCGAAGAGTGGGGCTTCCTGGGGTCTTCTTGAACGGCATCTCGGCGCCTCTTGGGGCCTCGTGGGCTGGTCCTGCGGCTTCCCTGGCCTTCCCTGCCGGCTTCCCTCTGGGGGCCGTCTCCAGGCCCTCGTGGGGCCCTCTTGGCCCTCGGGGCGGTCTTCGAGGTCTCTTGGGACCCTCTTCTGCCCTCTCGGATCACTCTTGGGCCGTCGAGGGATTCTCTGGTGCTGTCTTTGGGGCCTCTTGGTCGTCGTGGGGGTCTCATCTGCAGCCGCAGTGGATCGAGGGATGGGGGTGGTGGCATGATGGTTTGTGACATCGTCCGATTGTCATCTGATCGTCGGCCCGTTATCGTTCCCAATGGGTCAGTGATAGGGTTCACTGGCTCATTGGGCCTTCTTGCTCTTTATCCAGGTTATCAGCCTTTTTGCCCTAGCTGTTCCTGGAACCCTGCTCCATCAGTGCTCGCCTCGCAGTGATCGCTCCAGGGCCACAGGTTATCAGCGAGCTGTTGTGCTTGTTCCCTGCCGTGCGCGTGCGCACGCGAGCCACGTGTTCGTGCATGCGCCGTGCTGGTCCCCGTGAACAAGGCGGGCGGGCAGACCACGGCAGGCCTTCTTCTGGCAGCGCCGCGACTCCCCGAGGCGGCCCACCGATCCTGGATCGGTGCCCGACGTGCCCCACGGAGCTCCCCAGAGGCCCACGCAGGGCCCTCCTCTCACCCGAAGGGGCCCCTGCGCACACGGCCATTCCAGCCTCGCACGCGGGCGGCTGCGTGTCCGTAGCCAGTTGGCTCGCGGTCGCTCGGCCCAGGCCAAGGCCGGGGCGTGCACGATGGCCGGGCAGCCGGCCCCTCGGCACGGCGCGCCCGCGGCCCGGGCGCCGCAGCCGCGCCTGCGGCTGGGCGGCGCGGCGGGCGAGGGCGGCGCGGGGTGCCGGCTGCCCCCGGTGGCCGGCATCCTGCGGAGCGGCCGAGCTGGGCTGGCCGCGGCACCGCCGACCTCGGGGCGCTGGGCGCGCTCGCGGCTGCCTGCGGCGGTGGTGGCGGCCGGGCTGCTGTCGCACCGCTGGGGCGCGGCCGCGCAGGTGACCTGGGCTCCGCAGCCGGCGCAGCTGTCCACCGAGGACGACGTCGGCAACCACCGGCGGCTCCGCAACCTGCTTTGCCAGGCGTATGCCACGGGCTACAACGAGGGTCGGCAGCCGCACCTGCTCATGCCCAGCATTCGCGCGGAGATCGCCGACTTCCGGCAGCGCGTCCCGTCCAACGCTGCCCTGGCTCTGGCCGTGGGATTCGCGAAGTACCACTTCGCTTGGTACCTGGAGGGCGGCGCCGAGATGGATGTCGAGAGCGTGCAGGACGCCGCGGACCTCATTTACCTAAGCATTCAGTTCAGTCGCTGCAACGACCCCACGCTCCAGGCGGAGGCCTTCGCGCAGCGCATGTGCAGTTCACGTTGGCAGCATGCCGTCATGATCTACAGCGAGCTGGGCAGGGAGTACGCCAGCAAATACATGGCCGACCAGGCCGCAACTGTGCTAGAAAGGGCGCTGGCTGTCTTCGATGAGATGAAGAGTTTGAGCTTTTTTGCCCGGTGGCACCACTGGCAGGGCCCGTACGACATGAACTCCAACGAGGAGTTTTTCTCCGGGGTGGTGCCGGCGGGGCCCGTGTGGAGCAGCGCTGCGGTGCCTTTGGCGGGACTCCTGGAGGGGAGCTTCCAAGAGCTGTCGGCCGAGCTGGACGGCCTGCTGCAGCAGCAGGGCCTCTTCGACCGTTTGCACCTCCAGGGGCCCCGCGCCGACAGCCAGGACCACGCGCCCCCGGGCGCCTGGCGCGCCGTCGGCCTGGGGGTACCCGGCGAGGCGGTGGAGCTACGCTGGGACGCGGCCGCCTGCAGGCTGCTGCCGCGCACGTGCGAGCTCCTGTCGGCCCGGCCCGAGCTGCGGGGCTGCCGACGCGCGGGCGCCTCGCTGGTGCGGATGAGCGCGGGCGGCAGCCTCAAGCCGCGGCTCTCCGCGGAGCCGGGCCTGCAGGTGCACCTCGTCCTGATGGCCGACCCCGGCGCGCGCATGAGCGTCGGCAATCGCACGCCCGCGTGGGAGCTCGGGCGGGCGGTCGTCCTCGACGACACCCACGTGCGGCAGGAGTGGCACGCGGGCGTCCGCGGCGAGAGCTACGTGCTGCAGGTGAGCCTCTGCCACCCGTGCGAGGCGGCCCAGCGCTCCCTCTATGCGGGGTCGGTCTCATGTCCGTCGGCTGGCGCAGCCGCCGACGTCACAGTCCTCGCCAAGCAGGCTGGTGGCTGGGCCCACCTACCGAGTGGCGTCGCAGCGGCAGGGCCCTTTGGGACGCAAGCGGCAGAGGCCGGGGCAACGATGGCGGTGCCTTTCGCGGCCGCGGCGCTGTGGGCGGCGACGCTTCCGGAGCTGGCCGCTTGCGCTGGCGGCATCGGCGAGCAGTGCCCTCCAGACACGCAGCACGGGGGCGCCAACCCGCTGAGCGCCCTCGGCACATGGACCTACGCGCTGAACAACCTGCGCGCCGCAATGCGGCACGCCGGCGTCGAGCTGGACCCCACAGTCTCGAGCGCCATCTCCCAGGTGCAGGGCGCGATAGAGGCGTTCCTGAAGTATCCCGCGCTGGACGGCTTCGAGCCCATCGTCGCCAGCGCCGCACAGATCTTCCAGGTGCTGCAGCCTTGGCTGCAGCTGCAGCCCGCCGCACCCGTGTGGGTGGCCGCGCGGTCGCCCAGCGCCGCGGCGCTTGCTGGAGGCACGACGGAGCTTCCGCTCGCTGGCGGCCTGCGCATGCCGGTCGTGGGCCTCGGGACCTGGAAGCTGGAGGGGGCCGCCTGCTACAATGCGGTGCGGTGGGCCCTCGCCGCCGGCGTCCGGCACGTGGACACGGCCGAGGCCTACGGCAACGAGGCGGACGTGGGCCGGGCGATCCGCGACAGCGGCGTGCCGAGGGGCGACATCTTCCTGGCGACGAAGGCCACCAGCGCCGCCCTGGGCATGGCGCCAGTGTCCCAGCTGGAGTCTATCTTCGCCTCCCAGCTGCAGGCTCTGCAGACGGAGTACGTGGATGTCTACATGCTGCACGCCGCCGGGGTGAGGGGCGAGGAACTGGTGGCGCTGTGGCGGGGCATGGAGCGACTACACGATTTAGGGCGGGCGAGGGCACTGGGGGCATCAAACTTCGGCATCGAGGAGCTCGAGGAGCTGTGGACCTTCGCGAGGGTGAAACCTGCCTACATCCAGAACATCTTCAAGGTGTACAAGCAGGGCGAGCAGATCCCGGGCGACTCCGCCGAGGGGGTGGCCTCGTGGGCGCGGAGGCACCAGGTGGCAATGGTGGGCTACTCCGTGATCAACTCCTGGCCGCAGCTGCTGCCGCCCACGCGCGACCCCCACGTGCTCGCCGTCGCGGCCGCCCACGGCCGGACCCCGGCCCAGGTCCTGCACCGCTGGGCCCTGCAGAGCGGCGTGGCCGTGATCCCGCGGGCCTCCTCTAAGGAGCACGTCCTGGAGAACGCCGCCCCGCTCGACTTCGAGCTGTCGCCGGCCGAGCTGGCGGCCCTGGACGGCCTCGCCACGCTCGCGGAGAGCACGCACGACCAGCTGCGGCCGGCGTGGGCCTCGGACGTCTATGGCCTGCGCGCGAGCCCCGGCGGGGCCGCGGGCCCTGGCGCGCCGGGGCCCGCGGCGCTCGCGGAGGCCTCCGTCGGCCCCGGCGCCGCGGGCTTCCAGGCCGTGCTGAGGAATGCGCAGTGCGGCCGCGGTGCAGACGCCGTCGCGGACCCCTTCACCCTGGGCGGGGGTGGCCACGACCTGGCGCAGTGCGGGGCGGCGTGCGCCTCGCAGCCAGCCTGCCGCTTTGTCACGTACTATCACAGGACCGGCTACTGTCACATGTACAGGAGCTGCCTGGAGCAGCTGGAGGCTGGCGACGAGGCGGTGATCTATGAGCGGCAGTGAGGGCGGCACCCGTCCGAGTGGCGTGGACTCGGCGTGCTCGTGTGACAGGACTCCAGCTCTTGCGTTTCAAGCCAGGGGGGTCTGTGCCAGTTCGCACGCGGAGTCGCAAGCGAGCAGTTCCTCCTCCGTCTCCTCCTTTGGTGCATCACGGTGCCTGACTGGCGCGTCTGGTGTCCCCGGTGTTGTCGGCGCGCAAATCGTGTCTATTGTCCTAGGGGAGACAAACAATATGCGCACACGAGTGGTGGAGTACGTCGCGCTCGCCAAATTTGAAGGCAAACTGGAGGGCGCGCAAGAGGGCAACCTGGGCAGCAAACCAGAGGGCAAGCAGGAGGCAAGCTAGAAGGCACCAGGGCAAGCTGATAGTATATTGGAGGCAATCTACAGGCCGACGCCAAGGCACACACGAGTGTGCTGGAAGCCAAGCAACAGTTCACGCCTGGCAGCAATGTATGGGGGGGGAATCTAGCAGGCAAGCCGAAGCTGTCAGCTGAGGGACAGACGGCAGGCGAGCCGCGGACCGTGGGCCGCAAGCAAAACCGCACGGACAGCTGGAGCGAACGAGCAACTCTCGCGGTGATCGCAGATGCCGCCTCCTCCGCCCCCTGCTCAATCTGGTCGCCGCCGTCGCCGTCGTCGTCGTCGTCCACCTCCTCCTTCCAGTCCGCGCTGCAGTCGCACGATCCGGTGTGTGGACGCTTCGAGCGGTCCAGGAAGTTGGCCAGCTACTGCGCGTGCTGGGATTCGGGGCGCTGTCAGCAAGGGTCCATGTTCAGGCAAGCCTCCTGTTCAGGAATTCGTCGTTTCGAGTTTGCTCAGTGTTGTGTTGGAAGAGGTGGCCTTCTTCACAGTCGGCAAGCAGACTCGAAGGATGAGTCAGTTCGAAGGCTGCGGCTGTTTCTATGATATTGTAGCGGCGAACTCGGCGTCGCGGCTTGAAGCGTGCACGGAAGATGGGGGCTCTTTGCCCCAGCGGGCTTCTCATGTGTGCTACTGCTTGGAGTGAGCCCTCTGTGGGCATCAGTAGCGAGCGCTTCGGGTACACTGGGCGCCCAGGGCTTCCTATTTTGTCCACGCCCTCTCCTTAATGGCTCGGCTGTGAACGGAGGAGCTTCGCGCAAGGGGAAGAGATGCGCAGAGGCCGTTGGAGCGGCTGTCGTGGCTCTCTTCTAGCTTCCCCCTCGCACCATGTATCTTCTACTCCTTCCATCTAACCCTCGCCCTCTCTCTTTCCCCTTGCTCTTCCTCCCTCCCCTCTCCCCGCCGCCGGGCCGCTGCAGCCTCCCCGGGCCGGGCTCCTCCCTGTCAGGCCCTGGACGCCAGCCCGTGGCAGGTCGACTACGAGCGCGGGCTTGCGAAGGACTCGAGGGGTACGCGGAGGGCCGATGCACCGATCTTCCGGATGTCTAGCCACCAAGCCTGCCAATTGCACACCTGCCTGCAAAGCTGCGGCTTCTGCCCGCCTGCACACATACACACGAGGAGGAGAAGAAGGAGGAGGAGGAAGAGGAGGAGGAGGAGGAGGAGGAGAAGGAGGAGGAGGAGGAGGAGGAGGAGCAGGAGGAGCAGGAGGAGCAGGAGGAGGAGGAGGAGAAGGAGGAGGAGGAGGAGGAGGAGGAGGAGGAGGAGGAGGCGGAGGAGCAGGAGGAGGAGGAGGGGGAGGAGGAGGAGGAGGAGGAGGAGGGGTAGGAGTAGGAGGAGGATCGGGACCACACATATTTATCTTGCACTGGTTGTTTCGGTTTTCGAGCGTAGACGCTTCATTGAATTATTGCACAGCGCGCTCTTCGTTTCGCTGCCTGCTGCCTCCTTGGAACGCGTAAACCAAGCGAGGCCATCGCAGGATGCTGCTGGGCTCCTCGAGAACGACGCGCTCGCGCTGTAGATGCATTCTCCGTTTACTCATGGAAAGCGACGTGATGCGCGACGCATTGGCCTTTCGGTAGGTTCGAGCGGCCCCCGAACAGGCATTGAGGCCACATGTGCCTATATAGTCGCGGCTTGACCCCGTTCAATCAGCGCGTATTTCAAGGCTATCCGACAATGTCGACGGGAACTTTCATATTTCGAAACGCTTGTTTTGTGTTATAGATTGTCCTCTCCTGGGGACCTGAATTCAGAGGATCTCTCAAGTGAAATGCTTGTTTTCACGTGCCCAGTTCTTGAGGATGTCTCGAGCGAGACGCTTGGTTTCACGCCTCCAGGTTGCCTAGACAGATGTCTAGCATGAGGATTTGTTGAGGATGTCTCTTTAACCAGAGGCTTGTTTTCACGTGTCCAGGTCGCCCAGGCGGATGTCTAGCATGAGGATGTGTCGAGGAAGTCTCGATCGAGACGCTTGTTTGCACGTGTCCAGGTTGCCCAGGCGGATGCCTAGCATGAGGATGTGTTGAGAATGTCTTGATCGATACGCTTGTTTTTACGTGTCCAGGTCACCCAGGCGGATTTCTAACATGAAGCTGTGTTGAGGATGCCTCGAGCGAGACGTTTGCTTTCACGTGTACAGGTCGCCCAGGCGGATGTCTAGAATGAGGAGGTGTTGAAAACGTCTCGAGCGAAACGCTTGTTTTCACTTGCCCAGGTCACCCAGGCGGACGTCTCACATGAAGGTGTGTTGAGGATGTCTCGAAAGAACCACTTGTTTTCACGTGTCCAGTTCGCCCAGGCGGATGTCTAGCGTGAGAATGTGTTGAGGATGTGTTGAGCGAAACGCTTGTTTTCACGTGTCCAGGTCGCTCAGGCGGATGTCTAGCATGAGGATTTTGACAGGATGTCTCGAGCGAAACACTTGTCGCACAGCCCTCGGCACGGTACATCAATATCGATACCCTTAGCATTGCAGCCTGGCATGTTTCTTGGCACATTCCGCGGAGTGTCCCGTGGCGAGTCCCCCTGGCACGTCGCGCGGTGCACGTCCACTGGCACGTTCCGTAGCGCGTCCCCTTGGCACGTCCCGCGCTGCGTGCCCATGGCACGTCCCCTGGCACGTCGCCTGGCGCGTTCCTTGGGACGTTCCGCGGCGCGTCCTTCTGGCATGTCCCCCTGTCGATTAGTTCTGGGGCAGCTACCATCTGCTCAGGCAGCTCGAGTTTAAGATCCAGATCAGTTCGGTCAGGACTCGGATGCCAGGGAGGACTCGATGCACAACGCTGTATAGAGCACAATCGCGGCATGGCACATCGCAGTTCAGCATGGCGCAGCACAGCACAGCCGTCGGCACGTCGCATCAAGATCGATACACTCAACCTTGCACCTCGGCACGTTCCTTGGCGCGTTCCGTGGCGAGTCCACCTGGCACGTCGCGCGGCGCGACCCTTGGCACATCCATTGGCACATCCATTGGCACGTCCATTGGCACGTTCCGTAGCGCGTCCCCATGGCAAGTCCCGCGGTGCGTCCCCATGGCACGTCCCCTGGCACGTCGCCTGGCGCGTCCATTGGGACGTTCCGCGGCGCGTCCTCCTGGCATGTCCCCTCTGTCGATTAGTTCTGGGGCAGCTACCATCTGCTCAGGCAGCTCGAGCTTCAATCCAGATCAGTTCGGTCAGGACGCGGATGCCAGGGAGGACTCGATGCACAACGCTATATAGAGCACAATCACGGCATGACACATCGCAGTTCAGCACGGCGTAGCACAGCACAACCCTCGGCATAGTACATCAAGATCGATACATTCAGTATTGCAGTTGCCCGTCGCCCAACCAGGTGTCTTTGAAACGTTGCCATGCCTTACAGGTCTATATTCCTTTCCGTGTTCGTGCGTCGATCATGTTTTCTTTCTCCTGCATTGTGGCACAATTCGCTTCAACGGTATCCCCGTTTTCATTGCTCTTCCGCCAGCGCAGTTACTCTGCCTAGCCGCCGACGGAAAAAAACAGTGTGTGCTATTTTTTTGTGTGTACTTTGCTTCTTCCTCGCATCGGCCTGCAGACCCTCGCAGCTTTGAATCCCCTCCCTCTGGTCGTCCCTCCTTCCCCCGTTCCTTCGTCCCCCCTCGCAACTGCCCGCTCGTGAGTAATGAGTACCCATCGGTCGTTGAAAGTAGGTATTTTCGGAGTCCCATATTCCAATTTGCTTTAAGCGCCCTCTTACTTCAATGATCGAGTGGCTTAACCTTTTCCGTCTTCCTGGGGGGCGGACGGACACCCAATCTATTTTTAACGCCTTCCTACTTCATGTTTCTACCTACTTCTTCCGACCGATGGGTAAGGCCGCGCGATCCCCTACCACCGGACCCGGCACCTCCCCGCCGCGCGAGCTGGGCTGGCTCGCGCTTTCCGCTCTCCTCCGGACCTCGACTCCGCTGCGCTGCCGGTGCGCGTGGCCGCGACGCCGAGAAGTGTATGTGTGCGCGTGTGGTTCGTCGCCACTCTTCGTCCCTCGGGGCTTCCTTTTGGATTGTTTTCATCTTCCAGCGCCGTCCTCAACGCAGGTTGGCAATTCACTCCGACGTGGCATAGTACTGATCACGACGGTGGTGTCACATCGCTGGCGTAGTAGTTCGCGTGGTTCGCCCAGGCAGTGGACTAGGCCTGGCAGAGAGGCCTTACAGCGGGAGGGATCAGAGCAAGGACGACAATGAGCAGGAGGAGGCGGAGGAGGAGGAGGAGGCGAAGGAGGAGGAGGAGGAGGAGGAGGAGGAGGAGGAGGAGGAGGAGGAGGAGAAGGAGGAAAGGGAGGAGGGCGTCCTCTTGTGTCGTGCCTGTCGCGTCCCGTGCCCTCTTTCACATCGGAAGAATCGGAGGCGTGTGGGAAGAGGATGAAGAATACATGGGATTTGAACCAGGCAGATGAGCAGAGGGGGACGCTTGGTGGTTCCAAGTGACGCGTCTGCAACGGCCGATCTGGTCACGGAGGAGCTGTATGAGGTGGTGCTCTCCAAGGGATACTTCACCAGCAAGGCGGTGTTCGCAGAGGCGTTTTGCAGCAGCCTCTGCAGCTTCGGAAGCGCTACAGCCAAGACGCCGAAGTAAGGACCACTTTGGGCTCATGAGCGGCCATGGTTTTCGGCCGTTCCTTCGGTTCAAGGTTGGGGAACCGATTCGTTGCCGAGGCTAGCCGTTGCCAGAAAAGCCCCTTCGTTCCTCATGTATTTAACGCTCCTTATGGTAGCACGATGACAGCACCAGTAGGGCGAGTGGCGACATCAGTAGCAGCAGTAGCAATAGCAGCTGCGGTAGCAGTGACCGTGGAAGTAGCAACGGTACGTCACTATCATTAGCGATACCAGGATTCGTGATGTTTGTGGTCGTAGTCTTCTTGATCGTAACAATGTTTAGTGGTATTGATATCAGCATTTGCAGAGTGGTGGCAAGGAGGAGTGTGGACCTGTGGCCGCTGTTCCACCTGGCCAGCACTTGGCGGTAGGATACCCGCTCTGTCCAGGACGATGCAGATAGGGATCAGTTTGCAGCTTGCGCGCACGTAGCACAAGGAACCATTGCGCATACGATGACACAGGGCCACTATCCAATCGACCGAGCAAGATAATGTGTGCTTCGGGCCAACCTTCGCCCATGTGCCCTGGTTCGCGAGCTACCAGGGGTCGTGCTTTCGCCTCCTGGGTGCCAGGAAGAGGCGCCAGCACGAAAGTTTGCGAGTGGTGCGGAGAGAGCGAGAGAGCGAGAGAGAGAGAGAGAGAGAGAGAGAGAGAGAAAAAAAAAGAGAACGAGAGAGAAGCCGCGCGGCCAGCAGGTGCCCTTTGCGACTGAGATAAGTCCATGCGAATGCATGGACGCGGTGCGTTACGCTTTGGAATGCTTGCGTGCCATGCCGCACAGCTGGCTTTGTCCCAGGGCTGGACCTAAACGCTGTTTGGCTGGACGTCGGCTGTGCTTCGATTTTCGTCAATGCATGGATGTACAGGAACGCAGGCAGAGCAGAACGAAAACGAAACGACATCGAAATTACTCACTGCGTGGAGCTCCCCATATGTGCATCTCATGTTCTATGTCATGCCATAGTGAGCGTCTGTTCATGAGCGCTTGATTATGGTAGCGCGTCCACGTGGGCGACAGGGCCGACGAAGTCGAGTGAATCCTATTGCGAGTGAGTGAATCTGAGTCAGAGTGAGCTTTGAGTATGATTGAATATGAGCCTCCCATTCATTCCCCCTCCCCAAACTGGCCGCGAACGGGCCCGTGAAAACACCCCTGGCGGCTCCCCTTGGGGGTGCTGAAACCAGCTCCCCGCCTGAGACATCCTCAGACTCTGCTCTGAAAGCAAAGGATGTTGGGCATGAACACGAGCAAACCGCATGAGACATCCCCACAAACTGGCCGCGAACGGGCCCGTGAAAACACCCTTGGCGGCTCCTTTTAGGGGTGCTGAAACCAGCGCCCCGCCTGAGACATCCTCACCATCTGCTCTGAAAGCCAACGATGCTGGGCATGAACACGCGCAGACCGCTTGAGACATCCCCACAAACTGCCCGCGAACGGGCCCGTGAAAACACCCTTGGCGGCTCCCCTTAGGGGTGTTGAAACCAGCGCCCCGCCTGAGACATCCTCAAAATCAGCTCTGAAAGCGAAGGATGTTGGGCATGAGCACGAGCAAACCGCATGAGACATCCCCACAAACTGGCCGCGAACGGGCCCGTGAAAACACCCTTGGCGGCGCCCCTTAGGGGTGCTGAAACCAGCGCCCCGCCTGAGACATCCTCACAAACTGCCTTAAACGCAGACGAGTCTGCCCACCAGAACAGCCAAACGGCTTGAGACATCTCCACAAACTGGCCGCGAACGGGCTCGTGAAAACACCCCTTGCGGCTCCCCTTAGGGGTGCTGAAACCAGCGCCCCGCCTGAGACATCCTCACAAGCTGCTATAAACGCAAACGAGTCTGCCCACCAAAACAGCCAAACCGCTTGAGACATCCCCACAAACTTGCCGCGAACGGGCCCGTGAAAACACCCTTGGCGGCGCCCCTTAGGGGTGCTGAAACCAGCGCCCCGCCTGAGACATCCTCACAAGCTGCTCTAAACGCAGACGAATCTGCCCACCAAAACAGCCAAACTGCTTGAGGCATCTCCGCAAACTGGCCGCGAACGGGCTCGTGAAAACACCCCTGGCGGCTCCCCTTAGGGGTGCTGAAACCAGCGCCACGCCTGAGACATACTCCGAATCTTCTGTGTGTTGAATAAGTCTGCGTATGAGTAAGTCTGACTATGAGAAGGTCTGAGTATGAGTAAGTCTGTGTATGAGTAAATCTGGGTATGACTACGTCTGGGTATGAGTAAGTATGGGTATGAGTAAGTCTGTGTATGAGTAAGTCTGTGTATGTGCACGTCTGGGTATGAGTAAGTCTGAGTATGAGTAGGTTTGAGTCTGAGTAAGTCTGGGTATGAGGAAGTCTGTGTATGAGTAAGTCCGGGTATGCGTAAGTCTGAGTATGAGCAAGTCCGAGAGGAGGGGAAGAGAAGACGAGGGAGTAGGAGGCGTCCAAGTAACAACAAGAACCCCATCTTAGGATATGGGGAACGAACAAGAACGCTCGGGTCCAGCCCTGCTTTGGCCCACCACGCTCTGGCGCGACACGCCGAGCACGCCCTGGTCCCCGAGCACCCACGCTCCGAGCTCCTCCCGGCCCTCCCGCCCCGCAAGGCGGAGCGCCACGCGCGCTCTCCTCTCCACACAGTGGCGCCTCCGGCGCCGGGAGGCGCCAGGCGAAGCAGCTTCAGCGGAGGCCCAGGCCAACAAGCACCCTGCTCGCCTCCAGGGTGCCCTGGGTTTCTTGGGTTTCGATGGTTTTTTTGTGGAGAGCGCGAGGTTCCCACACCATGAACCAATCGACGTCCTGGGGTCTTAGGGTTGGGTTTCTTGTTGAAGGTTTCTTGTGGTCGGGCCCCTACTGTACGTGAACTGATCTGCTGACCCCTCCACTGACCCCCCTGTCGTTCCCAGTCATCCAGCGTGCTGATTTTTTCCTGGAAGGGGCGCGGGCCCAGGGTTCTCTTCCACCAGGTTTTCCCCCAGAATTGACTTGAGGTGGGCCGGCGAATTTCTTGTGCGATATAGATAACGAGGAAAGGGTGGGTCGGCGAATTAAATGTTTGAGAATGTCCTTAGCGAAACGCATGTTTTTTCAGAATTTGTCGAGGATGTCTCGAGCGAAATTCTTGTTTTCAATACTGGTCATAGGACGTCCCGATGCTGTCCCCAGGGTCGGTTTGTCATCCCGAGCCGTTTTTTGATGGTCCTGTGTCCTGGCGAGGGCCCCCTGGAGGGTAGGGTCTTCTTCAGTGCTTTGTAGGTTCGGGTGCGTGAGTTGATTCGCTGGAGCCCTTATTGAGAAGGCCTTACGGCCGGTGCCGCCGACCCTGAAGGCGATGACGACGAGGACGAGGACGAGGAGGAGGAGGAGGAGGAGGAGGAGGAGGAGGAGGACGAGGGAAGATCAGGCGGACCCTCCAGGGGCCTCCGGAGAGCTTCTTCGGGCCGGGCCCTCTTGGGAGTTCTTGGGCCGTCTTGTGGGCGTCTTGGGGCCCGTTTTGGTGCTTTCTTGGGCGGGGTCTCTCTTGGAGGCCTCTTCGACCATCTTGGGCGATCTGAGCACTCTTGGGCTAGATCCCTTCTTCATTGATCCCCCCCTCAGCCTGACCCAAGAAGAGAACCTGCGAGCGTGGCCGGAATTTGGGCCCCGAATTCGGATACAGAGGCGGGGTACAGGAAGGAGGAGGAGGACGAGGAGGAGGACGACGAGGAGGAGGAGACGATGGAGATGATGGTCATGGTGATGATGATGCTGCTGCTGATGATGATGATGATCATGATGATGATGATGATGATGATGATGATGATGATGATGATGATGATGCTGATGATGATGATGATGATGCTGATGCTGATGCTGATGCTGATGCTGATGCTGATGCTGATGCTGATGCTGATGCTGCGGGATAAGCAGGAGGAGGCGATCTCTATATATATATATATCTTTATAGGTATAGATAGATCGGTAGATAGATATATCGATATATATATATATATAATATATATATATATATATATATATTATATATTATATATATATATATATAGATATATATATATACTATATATATATGGATAGAAAGATAGATCGATATATGTATATATACATATACATACAGACAAATCGATCTATATGTATACATATATATACACACATATAGATATATAGATAGATAGATAGATAGATATATATATATATATATATATTTATAGATAGATATATAGTTAGATAGATATAAATATACATGTTTAGATATATATATATGTACATATATTTATATAGACATCTATCTCTATATATATAGAGAGAGAGCGAGTGAGAGAGAGAGAGAGAGAGAGAGAGGGAGAGGGAGAGGGAGAGGGAGAGGGAGAGGGAGAGAGGGAGGGAGGGAGGGAGGGAGGCGGTGCAAGCGATCGTGTCGAAGGGCATCCCTTTCTGGAGGGGAGCCTACGGCAGGGCGGGAGACGTGCGCGGCGCATTGGCGGCGCGCGCCGCCCCGCCGCCCCGGGGCCGCCAGATCGTCCTCGACGTGCTGGACCGCTCCGGCGGCGAGGCCGCGGCGCTCCCCGGCGGCCGTCGCGGCTTCTGACGGCCGCCTGCGGCTCTCAGGCTGCGCTCGAGTCGGGCTGCGTCCCTCTACGGGATGAACATTCATGAACAGCCAAAGATTACCCCAGTGCGACCCTACCTAGAAGTTGGAGCCCCTAGGAAAGCAGCATTAGTTGCTATGCTATGCTATGCTCTGCTCTGCTCTGCTATGCTATGCTATGCTATGCTATGCTGCGCTGTGCTATGCTGTGCTGTGCTGTGCTGCGCTATACTATGCTATGCTATGCTATGCTATGCTATGCTATGCTATGCTGCGCTATGCTATGCTATGCTGGGCTATGCTGTGCTGTGCTGCGCTGCGCTATGCTATGCTACGCTATGTTATGCTATGCTGTGCTCTGCTATGCTAAAGCTCAGCGAAGCTAAGATGAAGGTAAACTAAGCTAAGATAAACCTGAGCTAAGATGAAACTAAGCTAAGCTAAGATGAAATAAGCTGAGCTAAGTGAGATATGCAACGCCAAGCTAAGGGGACGTAACTGGGAGAACCGCGGGGCGGATACTGGGGGAACCGCCCGGGGCGCTTTCCACTGCCCGGCCCCTTTAAGACCAGAGAGTAAGAACCCTTATAGGCACAGCCTAGGTAGGGAAATAGCTAGTCAGGGGAAGATTTTTGGATTATTGCGAAGGCCTTACGGCCGGTGCCGCCGACCCTGAAGACGACGTAGATGAAAGGGAGGGCGGGGGGCTGCAGGGGGAGGAGGAGGAGTGGCAGGAGGAGGAGGAGGAGGAAGGGGTGCGTCGGTCGATTTCTTCTCGTCTGTTGTCTCCTTTCGCTGCGGCTTATCCTTCCTGAGAGAGGGATGAGGATGAGGAGGAGAATAAAGAGGAGGATGGGTAGGAGGAGGAGGAGGAGGAGGAGGAGGAGAAGAAGAGGGACACAAAGAAGAGTATGATGAGGAACATATGGAGGATCAAGAGAAGGACGAGGAATAGGAAGAAGATGGAGGTCAGGAGGAGGAGGAGGATAATCAGGACGAAGAGGACGACGGACAAAATAGTAGGAGGAAAAGGAGAATAATGATCATGAGGAGGAGGGAGATGAGGAGAGTAGGGCAGAGTAGTAGTAGTAGTAGTAGTAGTAGTAGTAGTAGTAGTAGTAGTAGTAGTAGTAGTAGTAGTAGTAGTAGTAGTAGTAGTAGTAGTAGTAGTAGTAGTAGTAGTAGTAGTAGTAGTAGTAGTACTAGTACAGGTATCAGGAAAGAGGAGGGGGACATATGATGCTGATGATGATGATGATGATGATGATGATGATCATGCTGATGATGATGATGATGATATATGATGATGATGATGATGATGATGAGGAGGAGGAGGAGGAGAGGAGGAGGAGGAGGAGGAGGAGGAGGAGGAGGAGGAGGGGAGGAGCCTCTTGGAGCCTTGGTGGGGGTGTTCTTGGAGAGCTACTGGGACGTCTAGGAGGTTCTTGGACCGTCTTGGGGCCAACACGGCAGGGTGATCTGGACCGTCTACTGGACGTCTACTGGACGTCTACTGGACGTCTACTGGACCGTCTACTGGACGTCTAGGTGATCTTTGAGCGACACGGGGCTCTTGTGGGCAATCTTGGGAGCCATCTTCGGCATTCTGGGTTCTGTTTGGGGCTGTTCGATATGTCGGGGCCGCCCTGGGGAAAACGAATCTGGTTAGCGACCCCCCCTCAGGACATCCCCCCCCCTCCTCCCCCGCGGAGAAGGGATCAAACTGGAAGGGCTTCCCTTCGATTCCAATACGACGTTGTACAATTTGGCATTGGATGGCAGCTTGAGGTGGGTACAGGGAAAGGGACGGGGGACGACGGATACGGCGAGGAGACGACTGTGACGACGACGAAGACGACGAGGAGACGACGGAGACGAGAACTCGAACGGAGAAGCCCCTCGCACACGCCGACAGGGTCGGCGGATTTTTGCGACAATGTTTGAATATTTGTGGAGTTTTTTTACCTCAATCATCCGCCTGTAGGAGGACATGCCCGACCTAAGGCTGCGCCTCCGCTGGGGGATCTCGATGGACCTTCAAATCCAGGGGTTGCCACAGACATTGCGACGGCCAGTGTTTCGTCGTGTTCGGCCTCTGGAGGCCCTTTCCCCGCTCCGAGGCCGTCGAACATCGACTCGGGATGAAACGCGGGCCAAGGGGAAGTGGTCGACATCCCCAGGGGCCGCTGTCACGAACAAGAATTCAACATCGGAGGAGGAGGAGGAGGAGGTGGAGGAGGAGGAGGAGGGAGGAGGAGGAGGAGGAGGGAGGAGAAGGAGGAGGAGGTGGAGGAGAAGGAGGAGGAGGAGGGGGAGGAGGAGGAGGAGGAGGAGAGGAGGAGGAGGAGGAGGAGGAGGAGGAGACGGGGGGGTCAGTCGAGACAACGGCGGCCCTCCCGGGCGGTTTTCCGTCCATCCTGGGCTTCCTGGAGGCTTCTCGCCGCCATGGCTGGACCCGCCTGGAGAGACGGGCCAGGATGGGATCCATAAAGGGGCCCTGGGACCGACCTTGAGCGAATCCAGACCGGGCGGGAGAGTCGCCGTTGTCTCACGTGGGGCGCTCCAGTAATGAAGGGCCTCGTCTTCGAGCAATCGAGAAGTTGATGTCTCTTCCTCGGCGGAAGGCGGCGCAGGGCGGGCGGAAGCCGGCAGAAGCGAACCGGGGGGGATACGCCAGCGGAAGCTGGCGGACATAACGGTCGGCTTCCCCAGAGATGTCGACAGTTTAGGGTTTCCGGGGCAGCCCGTATTGCTCTCCTTCGAAGATCTTTCGGGGCTGGGTAACGGGCCCCGCTGGATGCTCCCGTTTATCGCGTTTCCTCCTTCAGGGCCCGTTCGGAGCGATTTTCTTTCCAACCCACCTCAGTGCTCCCCCGAATTTTGTGGCCTGAGCCGCATGCCTCCCATGCCAAGCAGTCGCGGGAGCATGTTTGCCTTTTCCTGCTGCGGCCGTCCCGTCGCCACCGGGCGGACGCGGCTCGATGAGTTCGTCGGGCTCGGGGATCCACCGAGAACGTGGCGCGCTTGGTTGCCGAAGGCATGCGGCCGTGGGACTGCTGATCTAAGCTCTGGCGAGAGAGAGAGAGACAGATCTAGGGATACGCTTTCGGGGGTCTATCATCTTTTGTGAGCGGAGGTGCATGCATTGGAGCACGGAAGTCCGCGCTGACACTTTCATGTGCGCTTGAGCTTGATCACGTGCACACGCACATGAGTGCGGCTCTGTTTCTCACCGCAGGACAAGGACACTTGAAGTTGGATGATGTTACATGAGTGCGTGCTGTGTCAGCAAGTGTGGAAAGTGGCTCGTTCCACTCTGCCGCGAACTCATGGAGCCCGAGGTCTACTTGATTGGCCTCATCGAGGCCGATGCCTTTCTCAACTGCGCTCCCGCCAACATGCGTGTAGTAATGTTCCCCGTGAGCCCTCCATTCCCTCCCCCTTTCTCCCTCTTTCCTCTTTCTGGCAGTCCCGTGACGCGCCTGGGCCGTCGCTGGAGCATCTTGGGGTCGAAACCGGAGTGCACCCTGAGAGACCCTCAGTAGCACCAATGTCCAGTGAGAGCCCCCTTGGGCCATTTATGCGCGCGGGGTCTAGTATCACGGACACAGGCGCCAAAGTTTGGATCATTCCGATCTGCCTCGCCGTTTGCCTCTTGTGCTTGCGAATGTCGCTTAGGCCTCCCCCATCAGAAAATTACCCTGTGACGTACCCAACCCATTTGTATCAACGGAAACGAGGAGTTGGCCGAAACTTGTATGGACAATCAACTTGATGTGTAAGCTACTTGGGAGGCGTCACTGTGCTGGGCCCCGCAAGCAGGCCTCGAAAGTGGCGACAGTTTCACAGATCGCAGCCCCCCAGGGATGGCGAGGTCTAATTTGAATCTGCGTGTGGCGTCACTGTGCTGGGCCCCCCAGCAGGCCTCGAAAGTGGCGACAGTTTCACAGATCGCAGCCCCCCAGGGATGGCGAGGTCCCATTTGAGTCCGCCGTGGGTACCCACTGTGCTGGGCCCCCCAGCAGGCCGCGAAAGTGGCGACAGTTTCACAGATCGCAGCCCCCCAGGGATGGCGAGGTCCCATTTGAGTCCGCCGTGGGTACCCACTGTGCTGGGCCCCCCAGCAGGCCTCGAAAGTGGCGACAGTTTCACAGATCGCAGCCCCCCAGGGATGGCGAGGTCCCATTTGAGTCCGCCGTGGTACCCACTGTGCTGGGCCCCCCCAGCAGGCCTCGAAAGTGGCGACAGTTTCACAGATCGCAGCCCCCCAGGGATGGCGAGGTCTAATTTGAGTCCGCCGTGGTACCCACTGTGCTGGGCCCCCCAGCAGGCCTCGAAAGTGGCGACAGTTTCACAGATCGCAGCCCCCCAGGGATGGCGAGGTCTAATTTGAATCTGCGGGGTACCCACTGTGCTGGGCCCCCCAGCAGCCTCGAAAGTGGCGACAGTTTCACAGATCGCAGCCCCCCAGGGATGGCGAGGTCCAATTTGAATCCGCCGCGGGTACCCACTGTGCTGGGCCCCCCAGCAGGCCTCGAAAGTGGCGACAGTTTCACAGATCGCAGCCCCCCAGGGATGGCGAGGTCCAATTTGAGTCCGCCGTGTGTACCCACTGTGCTGGGCCCCCCAGCAGGCCTCGAAAGTGGCGACAGTTTCACAGATCGCAGCCCCCCAGGGATGGCGAGGTCCAGTTTGAGTCCGCCGTGTGTACCCACTGTGCTGGGCCCCCCAGCAGGCCTCGAAAGTGGCGACAGTTTCACAGATCGCAGCCCCCCAAGGATGGCGAGGTCAAAGGCAGGGGGAAGAGAGGGACGGGAAGGAAGGTTCGCGCGAGCAGTGCTCTATTCAAAACGAGAACCCAACGCAGGAGGGTTGGGAAAACCACAGGTCCACGTCGCATGTACTTCCATTGTGTCCTTCGGATTCTAATGTTTGCGCAGCTGGTCTACTCTGGCAACCGTTGCTTTCATGTGCAGCCTTTCAGATAGCGGCAAGGCCGT